GTAAACAAAAACAAACATGCCAAACTTCGGGAGGAGTAGATTGCTTCCGGTTGACCATTGTTTTTGCATATTTTTGAGGACCCGCGACGAGTAGCGGGTACTTTTAAAAATTTCAATGCCGAGGAAACACTTGGCACGTTCACAATTTTACTTACACTGCATTTACACGGCTTCCTGATCCCCTTGATGAAAATAATTACCAATTACTCCTCAAAGAAATAACGAATCTCCCCAGGCATCGTGGGCGCATCTTATTCACCTATTCGAGTCGCCTGGCCCATAAACATGTAAACGACTTAGGACATAAAAGTCGTTCAACTACTTCGTGAACGGAAAGCCTCGTCAATGGGCCCCCAGCGATGAAGATACGCACCAAGCTACCCTACGGGGTTCGACGAGTCGGGTCTTGGCCCTAGCAAACAGTCTAACGAAAGTGTTTATTGCGCTTTCCTTAACGCGACGCGAGTTTCTGTAATGTAATATTTTCTGATGCTTTGACTTGCTTGCTTTAATATTTAAGTTTTATTTCCAAGTGTTTTGTGTTACCTTGCTTTCTACGTGCTCCAATGGCCAGGTTGCCACCTGTTGCTACACGGGGAGATAGTCGGTCGAGTTGCATCAGCCTCTCGTTTCTCACGTAGCGCCGTCTGTCGGTAGCATATCGAAGTGGTCGAGCACCGTCTGCTTAGCTGCGATCATCTAAGCTCGGCGACGCTGGTGGCGTCACTCTTTTCATAGAAATTATAAAACTTCACTTTTAATTCTTTTTTTTTCGCGCTGGTGCGCATCGGCCACTCAAAAGCAAGGTACTGGCATTATTAGAGCGTAGCCCTCAAATATTTACTCGCTAGCGATCCAAAAGCCCTCGAGCAATTATATATTGCGGTCGCATGACTGGTTCTTGTTGGACCAGTCATGCGCCCCTCTTTCGCCACGTCAACACGCTCCCGCCCATACCCACGCGTAGAGAGAGCCGTGGCATGTGACAAAAGGGAGGTTGCTGATTGGTCCGACGGTCACGTAGCTTCCACCGTAGTCTCAGCTTATTGGTGAACAGAGTGTAGGTCAGCCAATGAGTGTGTGCGGCCACCAGTGAGCGATCCCTGCTGTAGCGGGAACATTCGATTATATTTTTAGAGCGCAGCTCTTAGGGGCCCGTTTCCTGCTTGAGCGGCGTCAGCGTCGCCGTCGGCGTAACCAAGGTCACCCCAAGGTCACGTGACTCCCCAAGGTCACGTGACCCCCCAAAGTCACTTCAAGGTCATGTGACCCCGAGGTCACGTGACCCCTCCCAAGGTCACCCCAAGGTCACGTGACCCCCAAATCACGTGACGCCCCTGGTCACGTGACCTCCCAGGTCACGTGACCCCCCGCGGTCACGCGACCCCAAGGTCTCTTGACCCCCAAGGTCACGTGATCCTCCCAAGGACACGCGACCCCCCCAGGTCACGTGACCCCCCGAGATCACGTGGCCCCCCAGGTCACGTGACCCCCCAGGTCACGTGACGCCCCAGGTCTCGTGACCCCCAAGGTCCCTTGACTCCCAAGGTCACGTGATACTCCCAAGGTCACGTGACCCCCAAGGTCTCGTGACCCCCCGAGATCAGGTGGCCCCCCAGGTCACGTGGCCCCTTCTCCTAGGTCACGTGACCCCCCCTCCCCCCCTCCGAGGTCACGTGACCCCCTCCCCCCGAGGTCAGGTGACCCCCCGGAGCGTATTAAAGAATGAGGGGAGGAGGAGGAGAAGGAGGAAGAGGAGGGGTCTACCCTCCACTCAGTGCCCCTCCCTCCTCCTCCTCAAGAGCTGCGCTCCAATTGGGCGTTACAGGGAGTTGTAAACGGCTTTCACTTTAAGAGCGCAGCTCTTAGGGGCCCGTTTCCGGCTTAAGCGGCGTCGGCGTCGCCGTCGGCGTAACCGCGAGGTCAAGTGACCCCCCCGAGGTCACGTGACCCACCCAGGTCACGTGACACCCCTAGGTCACGTGACCCCCTTAGGTCACGTGACCCCCAGAAGGGACGTGACCCCCTGAGGTCACGTGACCCCCAGAAGTCACGTGACCCCCTTGAGGTCACGTGACCCCGTAATGTCACGTGACCCCCTGAAGTCACGTGACTTCTGGGGGTCACGTGACCCACCCAGGTCACGTGACACCTCTAGGTCACGTGACCCCCCGAGGTCACATGACCCCCCGAGGTCACATGACCCCCTGATGTCACGTGACCCCCCCCTAAGGTCATGTGACCCCCGAGGTCACGTGACCCCCAAAGGTCACGTGACCCCCAAAGGTCACGTGACCCCCTGAAGCCACGTGACCCCCTTGAGGTCACGTGACCTCAAGGAGTCGCCTATCCCTCAGTACGCTTCCATCTTCCTCCTCAAGAGCTGGGCTCTAACCGGCGTTGCAGGGAATTGTAAACGGCTTTCATTTTTTATTCAACCGTAATCTTTTTGCATCGCGATTTTGCGTCTAATGATTTACGTTTTACGTCATCCCCCAAAAGTATGTTCTATCCCAAAAATTGTGTTCCACTCCCAAAATTGCGTTCTAAGTTAACAATACGTTAATCGGGTTTCATCACACAATGAAAGTATTAAAAAATAGCGTCGTCGACATTGAGCATGTGCCGAACGCTACGTGCGATTTGGACGTTACGTGTGCTATCTTAGAGTATTCTATTTTTCAGTTATTGCGTGCGAGCTCAGAGTGTTTGCGCTCCTCCAAGAAGGATTCATGATGAAGTTGGCTAAAGACAAGAAAAGCACAGTTAAAAAATGGCCGCTCTGTCCCGACCTCGACTGCGGCCGCTTTGGCGGCGTCGACAGCGGGACATAGGCGGCATCCTCGTGACTGCGCTTTAATGCAGGCGGACATTGCACTATAGGCGAGGTGCACGTCATAGACGGTTCGCAAGACTCAGCAAAGTGAGCAACGATCGCCGGCAAGTTGCTGCTTTCGAAGCGAGAACGTTTCTCGGCGAAGGCGGCGAAAGTCCATACACGAGACATCTCTTTCCGAGGCAACGCAAGCGGACACGATCGGTCGACCGCTCCCGTCGCATTCTTATATTTAAACAAATCTAATACGTTACTCTGAACCAAAAAGCTTGGATTTTTTGAAATAAAATGATTTAGTGTATCTTGGTGGCGTTGCGACCCTGAGACACTTGGGCTTTTGTTTCGCGGCGGAGAAACTGTATTCTAAAACACTCTTGCGAAGCGTGTGCTAACCCAAGCGCTAAAGTTAGCTTTACTCTGCGCTAAAAGTGAGCTCGTTATTCTAAAACTTTCTATTAAACAGTAGTTCCGGACTAAATACTATATTTTAAGAAAAGTGAAGGATAGAGAAAAAGGCAAGGGGAAGGGAGGAGAGGAATGAGGAGAGGGAATTGGTGTGTCACGTGATGTATATTTTGCCACTAAATTTAACAAAAAAACTAAATTTTTCTATGGATTACGTGACATGAGCTCCATTACATCGATTTCCCTCCTAAATCAAAGAGGAAACTGGGTTGGTTTTTAGGTCACGTGACGTCCATTTGTTCGAATTTTTTAGCGGAGAAACTCAACTTAATTTCCGCGCTAAATTTAGCGAGGAAACTAATTGACATATGGGTGACGTGACGTCGAATTCTCCACTTGGAGTATCTTTCACGTTAAGTCACGTGACGTGAATGTTTCCGCTAATTTTAACTACAAATGCACCGATGGACAAACTTTTGGGACTGTGGGGTTTCCGTTAAGAAGTGTTTCGCGCCCTATTCAAATAATATGAAATAAATATAGTGGGTTGACGCGAAGACTAGCTCTATTGGTCTCTACATATTGTCTCCCTCCGATAAGAACAAGCAAGAACGTTGTCTGCACCCTCGCCGGGGGAGAAGAAGTGGTGTCAGGGTCTGGTGTTCGAACGCTGAACCCCGCCGTCGTCTGCTACTCGTAGAAATTGCCGCCTTACCTTGTTTAGAGCTTTCGGAAATCCAACAGTTCTTTTGCGAACAAAAACATAGCTTTGAAGGAAGGGGACAAGGAATACCTCGAAGGGTGCGCTATTATTATTCTTTTTTTTTTTTTTCGTTTGACAACAACCAGACGTGTTCCAAGCACTGGCATCACAAGGGGGGGGGGGGGGGGGGGGAGACTGTCCCGGTTGCAGCACTCAGGGAGGTGTCGCGGCGGGCATCGAGCGCGGGGGAAGGGGGGGGGGGGGGGGGAGGGGTCGCGGTGGGCTACCGCCTCGGGTGCCGCGGACCCTAGTGACGGCACTGTTTCTAAGTTCCAATGAATGAAGAAATCACGGCCCATGCATCGTCCACTTCGCTCCGCAAAACTGCTGCGAGTGCGGAGTTCCTTTGCAAACGGGATTACTCACTCGCAACGCGTTTTTTTCTCCTGTATTTTACTTACACATTGCATAAGACAGTTTCGGCAAAAGCTTCGAACTTGGTGTTGGCGCACCTTGAAACAACGTACTGAGTGCCGCTATCAACGGCTATGAGAAACAAAAATGAGTTGATTTTAATGCGTGCCCGGTTCTGGCATTAACGAGAAAGTTTATTTCGGCCGTAAAGATTTCATTAAAAGTTGAAGTAATTTAAACTGAAATGCTTTCCGGAATGAACCAATATAATTATGCACACATTTGACTGAAGCCAAGTGGAGAGGGCAATATTTTTTTTCTGGATCACGTTTACGCGCCTCTCTATTTTGGGCCAAGAAGACAGAGGAACGAAAAGCGCGAAGACACCTTCGATGTTACCATAAACTGTTCAACGTGAAGCGATTGTACTAGAAACACTGATGCAACAGCCTACCCAATGGTGCTAACTTCGCGATTTGTTACACAGGTTCACGCATAGACACGCACACACACCCACACAAAACAATACCACCTGTACCAATGATACCAATACTTTAAATAGAAATGGTAAATTAATGACGCAATATTTGTTTTTCTATATATTTCCTTACTGACTGTTGATATCGTTTTTTTCCTCTCTAGAACGAGATACAGAGGACATGGCTCGACTCGCTTGCGTATTTCTGGTCTTTGTGCTGGCCTATCAGTGTGGTAAATACTCGATTTTTCCTCCTTTGTTTGGGTGTTCTTGGAAACATGTCAGCGTAGACGAAATTTATCTCGATTTTCACTTCGCACATTCATTCCTTAAACACAAGTACGCGACTCTTCGCTTTTAGGGAGAAATACACTTCGTGTCCCTGTTTAAAAAAAAAATATTTATAGAAATGTGTTCTTATGTTACGAAACGTTGCGTGAAAAATCGTCAAATTATGCATGATGGTATTGGCTCCTCGTGTGCAGTGTTACGCTTAGCCGGGAGGGACGCGACAGTTGAATCTCCTGCCCATAGTCTGAACAGGAACGGCAACACAATGAGTACGTCGGAGGGAAGAGAACGTCGTTTGGCTGAGGATATATAAGGAATCCTTCATAGAGGACAAGCAGTGCTACTGCATTTCGACGTAGTCTAAAGGCCTGTCCAAACGGGACATATCAAATGGCATAAAGCAACACTTCACCGTCATATCAAATGAAAGTTACTGTTCGGCTGTCCGTTTTATAGTACAGCTCTTAGGCACCCGTTTCCTGCTTGAGCGGCGTCGTCGGCGTTGGTGTGGGTGTAACCGCGCGTTGCATTATAGGACGTTTCCAATAATCACGTCACACGTGACATCACGTGTAACGTCACGACGGCTACCCTCATGAGGTTTGCAAGGGTTACCCTCACGAGGGTTACGAGGCTTACCACTGATCTCTATGTCTATATGCTGGATCGCGCTTGACCAGCTCCGCCTCTAGACGGTAATACGGCTTAGGTCGGCCATCTTTTTATAGAGTTATATTATCTCTAGCCATCATAGTAATATGGCGGACAACGCAATGGCGGCTGCGGCAGCAGGCTGCCACAAAATAGCCGTGGATCTAGTACACTGTACCGTGGGGGATATTTCGTGCCTGATTGAAGTTGTTCGACGAAGTAGATTCTTGAAACACGGCGTGAACGGTAGCCTCATCTTTGAGGACCAGGCAAAAGTTCTACGAAAGCGCAGCACCGGGGGAAAGCAGCGCAGCTCGCATCGAAAGCAGACTCCGTACCGGCGTCTGCTTTCGATGCTTCTTTCGATGCGACTTTCGATGCGTGCTGTGCTGCTTTTCCTCGTTGCCGCGATTCTGTAAAACTTTCACCGGGTCCTCGAAAATCGGGCTACCGTTGATGCCGGGTTTCAAAAATATGTTTTCTCAAACAATTTTAATCAAGCACGAAATATCCCCCACGCTATTCTGATATCAGCCTGCCACCACAACTGTCACAACGCTGTATGCCATGGATGAATGATAGTGGCTGCAGCAGCTGTACCTTGGCTAGAGGTAATATAACTTTACCAAAAAGTTGGCCGCCAGTGGCCGCATTCGAGGAGCGGGTGAACGCGATCCAGCAATTCTTATAGAGATCAGCGAGGCTTAACCTCACTAGGGTCACAAGGGTAACGAGGGTTACCCTTACGAGGGTTACGAGGATTACCCTCACGAGGGTCACGAGGGTTACCCTCACGAAAGTCACGTGGGTTACCTTCACGAGGATCACGAGGGTCACCATCGTGACCCTCGTGAGGGTCGCGAAGGTGACGCCAAGACGTTACCATCACGTGTGACGTCACGTGTGACATCATTATAGGAAACGCGTAATGTATGACATCACTTGACGTTACGTGTGACGTCGCATTACGTTACGTGTGATGTTATGCCCAACATTAATATTGCCGCTAAATTCAGCGGGGAAATGTTTTCGCTAATCCTGGCGGAAAATATTTCCGCTAAATTTACCCTTGTGACGTCACGTATGATAACACTTGTGACGTCGCACGCGACCAGGTGCTTGGCGACCTGTGTCCTGTCGAGGAGACTCCCTCTTTTTATTATGTTTCTGTCGTCGCCATAATAGCGTCGGTTGACTGAAAAGTGTCCCACTGTTTACGTTCAGGAGAGTCCCGCGTCGCGAATGTGAGAAACACTTTGTGCGGCTGACGTATCTGTCCGACACCAAACAAGAAGTTCCCACGTAATTTGGGATCGCATGTTTACCTCAGACGCACCAGCCGACGCTGCCGACACTGGCTGGACGTATGGGTATGGAATGTTGCCCACCAGGGATAGGTAGTAACATTGGGGAGTTACCGGGACAGACATCTTCCCCCACTGTACTTGCCCAGAGGAAAATGAGCATGTTTTCACCACTTGTGTAGTTCCGTGTACGTTCTTCACCCTTGTGTCTGGACTGTTTGGGATGTGCACCCATTTCCAAAGGCGTATACAATCGTTTTGAGAAACTGGTTGTGATACTAGTACGCTGAGTCCTGTGGAAGTAAAGATGTAGGGCCAAGATTCGGCGTCGCCGTTTTAGGCAAATGTTCCCAATGCTTCCCACGTTGCGCGAGTAGATAGTGGACTACTGTTAAAGTTAACTGTAGACGCTTAGAGAGCAGGAATTCCTTTAACGATGGCAATATAGGTTTTTCATAGTGAGTAGAGCAGGGTCATACTGCACCCCACAGCCGATTTTAGATAAGCATAATGTAGGGTCTCTCAGTGTGGCCTGCGCGCACTCAATTTGTAACTTTGTAAATAAACTTTTCTTACAGTAATCAAAAGGAAGATTGAGTGCGTTCTGAATGTCGCCGCGACGACACAGTCACGTGCGTTTCCCTTTCAGTTACGAAGAGTCACGAATTTTACTCTGGCGTGCCTAATTAAAATACTTGAATACATCCTTAGCTGGAAATTGTGAGTGGAGGGTGTTTGTCAAGCTCATTATCTCCACTAGGAGAATATTTGTGGTTTGTGGTTGGTCACAAAAGCTGTCAATCATCACGCCCAAGGTCACTGAAACAATTTCAGCCAAAGGCGTGCCCTTATTTTCGCCCCATTCTCACCACATAATGACCAAGCTCTACATAAACGGCTCTGGTTTCGGATTGCGTTAAAAAATATATTCAGACTGCCGGCGAAGACCGTGGTCTACTGAAATGGACATAATCTCTTTGTAATGCACCTTTGATTTTAAAATAAATGGGACCAATGATCCGAAAGCTTCAAGTAACAAAAATAAAACATGGTTGCATAACGACGGCAAACTGGTGTCGACGGATGTCGTCTGCATGTCGTCTGCTTTCTTTAGCTGGTCGGCTGCATCTTACACGCTGCTTTCGACGCATCCACCAATTCGTGCGCCAAACGCACCCCGCCACTCGACTCAGTCGTTTGCGTCGCCGTCCACCGTTGACCCTGGCAAGTTTTTTGGCTCTATCCTTTACAGAGATGATATACGCCCTGTAGTTTTACGAGGTCAAATCCACCTGTGAAATAGGCCTTTGATGAAAGGTCTAAATTGCTACGCGCAGTCGCCGATTTTTACGGCTGTCTTTAGAACGAGGATAGAGTGAGTAGGCAGGTGAGCTGGTTGATGCTACACATTTGTTTTTTTTAAAAACCGGAGACAACGGACGAACAAGTGGATAGCACACAAGACGTCTCGGCGTTTCAACACCCTATATTTCCTACCGTCGTCAAATACAGATGCAGATTGAAAATGTGCTTAGTATACCACTCGATTCAGCCGATAATGTTCTCACTCACTGATTCTGATTGAGGCATAATTCTTATTAACTGCACATGACAGCACTACCATTGTGTTTCCAGCTGACGTGGTAAACGGTGATGTTAAAGAGGGAGACCTTCCAAGCTTCGTGGGGAATAAAGGAGAATTCCTTGGAAGATTGAAGCAGCTTTGTAAAAAGAATTATAACACGATTGATATTGTGAGTATAAAGAACACCAATTTAATAAACACTAATATATCGATTTCATATATTGTGTCCTTTATGAGCTGTAGAACATTTTTCGTTGTAGTTTGCAGTGGACTTATCTGACTGCCGCGTTTCCTGCTCGATGAGGGAATTTGGTGCGGTTTATTCTCAACTACATCTAATAAACAGAGAACCATGCAGCAATGATGGCGGGGTAAGTTAAAAAATCAAACCCTATTTATTTAATGCCCTACCATTAAATTCGGAATTTCAATCACGGCCCTGAAACTTTGCGATTCCATCTGGCCACCCTGAAGCGAAGTTCGTGTTAATGTCTCTATCGTATGCCACGGAAAGTGTAATTTTAATTGAAACGAAAATAAACTCGGCGTCTTCATATCTTAGCTGAGACATGCACCAACACTTATGTCAAGTACTGCACGAAGCATGCCCCTCTTGCAATGGCGCATTTGTCGCTGCATGCAAATGCCTAAATTCCTACTAGAAGCGTATATGCTTGATTTACCTTGAACCTATGGGTGAAGTCGGTATCCGCAGAACTTGTTGGATTTGCTCGCTTCCTCACTGTTCTGCGGCTTTTTCGTAACCTTTCCCTGACATCAAATCACGCCAGACTGTCATGTGATATTGTCACGCGGTTACTCACACTTTTCCAACCCTTGTCGTGCTTCCCTGCGGGATCATTCAGTGCATTTCTATTGTAAATTGCCCTATGCGGTCTGTCCATTGCAATAATAACAAACAACGGATCAAATAGCGCGTGGCAAAGTCGCCAGGCGGGAAGCCACACGCTGAGGAAGACGGAACTGAGCTCCAATGTTCTTTCTGCCCAGCGCGTGAGCCACGAGAAGCCTTTCTTCACGTAGCACCTTTTATGAGTCTATATTGTTGTGGCGACATCAATAAACAAGAAAAAAAGTTGTAGCGACATGACGGATTCGCTTTCAGAAGTCTCTCCCTCGGCGGAATGGTAGAGTGCATATGGTTTGAAATGTTCGTGTTTTAGGTTCGATTCTCGTCAGGGGATGTTCGGGATAGCTTTGTTTCGTATCAACATTTATTGCATCGTTGTTTTAAATTCAGAAGATCTTAATTCAAAAGAAAAAGAGTTGTTTTAATTTCAGGAGAAAAATAATTTTTCCTGAATTTCCTCCCACATTTTTTTGTGGCGGTTTCAATAACTTTAATTCACGCTTTCTACGGAGATCAAAGCCCTTAAACGAACTTCCTTTAGACGTTTTAAAGCATATGCCTAAAAGAGCAATTACTCTCCTGCTGGGTCTGTCAAGCGTTTAGAGTTATAGTTCGTCTTGCAGAGGTTATACCAACATGAATTGCTTATATTCACATCTGTCGGATGTTAGCGAGTGTACCCCCCATGGCATGTTTAAACTTCAACTATAGGTATTTTCGTCAAAACACGATAAAGAGACAAATTATTGACTGCATGGGCCAATCGGAACGCCGGTGGGAAGTACGTAAAAATGCAACGCCCGAGAGCCCTTTTTGCCGTCACATGCCTTTCGACCCTTTACCAAAATAGCTCACGGAGTCATAGCATACGTAAATTTTCAAGTAATGTCGAAAGTTACTATAGAAGTAGAACCAAGGCATGCGATAGAAAGACTGAAAAGTGGGCACGCACATCAGTTATTCAGCCCCACGTTGCGGTTCAAAACATTTTTTTTCTTCAAAATTGCTAGATAAAAACACGTTGTTTTTGTTGTTGTTGTTGTTGTTTGTTTCTTCTTGTGTAAAACTGGTCAAAATATTAGATGCTAGAAAAATCAGCCATCCGCGTTAAGTCATTTTTTTTAAACTATTTTTGTTCACGCTGCGCCCTTGAAAAGCTCGGCGGAAGATTCTGCACGCACCTCACCTCGCCACCCCACTGTGTCCTTCGCATGATTAAGTTCGTCTGCTATGGTCAGCGTCACCATGGCAACGAAGTGTCAGCTGAGTGAATTCACACATTAACATACAGTCTGAAGCCATACACAGCTGACATCATAATCCTGAAGTTAACCTGCTCAAGTTAACCTGGCAACGCTAGTTGAATTTGGACGCGTCGGTGCGGCGGTCGACGCTGGGAGCGGGAAGGGGTCGACTGGATAACCCCTGACGGTTTCGACGAGGCTTGGCGGAAGCTCTAACCTGAGATTAGGTACTTTTAGAAGACTGAATTCTATACTCCGTTCGCAATTAAGCTGAGACTGTAGCCAAAAGTACAAGTGAGAGATAGCCCGCGCTCCTTACTTTGATACATGCATTTATAGCGCGAGCGCTCCTTCTCCGGAAGAAGGCTTCAAAATAGCGACCTCGAGCTCTCGTGGTTGTGGCATTGCCTGACGTCTCAGCTTAGGGGTGTACGGAGTATAGAGGCACTACACTCTTATAGAGCCGTATATGTAGAGAGTTTGGTCATTCGTTGGGAAGTATAGGAGACAAATGAGGAGGCGCCATTGGCTGAAAGCGGGCTGGGCGGGTTCCAGGGCGTCTTCAGAAATTCGAATGTGACCAACCAGAACCCGGAAATAATACCCTGGCGGTGGTCGCAAAAAACAAACTTGATAATTGCATTAGAGTAACTCTCGATGACTGAAAATATGGTGCACGTGATGTTTCAATCACGCTCGTCCAAAATGATGGTGGAAGAGTGCGACTAGCGGAACGATCGACATAATCCGTACGCCAAGCGCCGAGGGGCGGGAATCTGCCGTCCGAGCGGTCACACTCTGTCCGAGCAAAACAGACTTGAGTGGCGCATTCGTTTCTTACATCTCTCTGCATGATCATGATCAAAACAAAACGTGCACCCTATTTTCAACCATAAAGAGTGACTACACTTCACTCTTACGCGCTTATCAAGACCATTTACGAACATTGACCTTTGATCAGAACTGTTTCTTGCTACCACCGCTAGGGGATTCTTTTCGGCTTCTGGTTGGTCAAAAGAGCATGCCAAGCCCTCTTTCCGAATCTGGTGCACGCCTTGGCTCTGCCCGCGCCTCCCATTGACCAAACTCTCTACATATACGGCTCTGCACTCTTATTGCGGGAGCTCACGCCTTTACTTCGAAGCATCCCGCCTTTCCACAGCGTTCGATCTACTAAAACTCTATTTTACGGACTTCTATATTTCGTTCACCCTTAAGTTGACACTAGAAGGTCCGCCTGCAGCGTGAGCTTTACTCCCTTGCTAACGCAAGTTTGAACGCGCAGGCCCGGGCAACCAAAGAACTGCGAAAGCGAGCGAGCTACTGCTGAAGGCGGAGCTTCTTGTCTCAGCTTAAGGGTGAACAAATTATAGTTTATCGAGCGCTAGAGCTCCACTGGACCCGCTCTCGACTGCGTAACATCTGCTAAATCTCTCTAAGTAGAACGTACACGCGGAAAGCGCGCCCAGCGGGCGCGGGCTTAATCCATGCTATGAAGTGACGGTGACGAGCTTCTTCTAGCAAAGCGGAGCTCTAGAATACGGTCTCCTAAAGGCTCTGTTATACTCCGACGTTGAGCGTAGCAAACACTGGGTAGCGCAGAGCACACAGCTACTGATTGGTCACAGATATCGAGTTCCAGCTCGCCGGCCAATCAAAGATCACGTTCTGCGCTACGATGCGTTCGCTGCGCTTAACGTAGGAGAATGACAGAGCCTGAAATTCCATAATTTTAAATTTTTTTTTTTTTTGCGGAGTGGAGCGAAACGAAACGTGTGGTGAACGTGCGTAAGGTGGTCTGCTTGGAGGTCTAGTTTGAGACCCCAGGCTTTGCTTGAGCATCTGTTTACAGGGCAACGGTCGGAACTTCATAGTATCGTTATACCAGGAATACAGCCGGATAGGTATTTTAATGGAGATACAAAATAGAGGTGGGCGCATGGTACCGCGATGCAGAAATACAAATATAAAACGTAGTGGAAAAATACTCTCGCAATAGATACGTATCAGGAAACTGTCCAACCCTAAATTGACGAGTTGCTAGTCCGCAAAAATTAGGAAACGACGGCATATGCTACGGATTTGGTGACATGACGCAGATCTTCACTTCGCCCGCAATGAAATAAATTTAGCATTAAAAATCTGCATGCGCATCATGGGTAAGCAATTAACCTATGGGCGACTGCTCGAATTAACACATCAGAGCTTCTTTTATAAACATTGTATGCTGAGAACGGTTCAAGCCATAACACGATAATTGCCAAAAAGGAATTAGGATTTTCTGGAAGAACGACGGTAGGTTCGACTGATAGGAAGACTTGGCCGATGGTAATAGTAGGAGAAAATTAAACTTAAGAAATTCAGCGGATATTTCGGCAGGAAAAGAATTTGGACCACGCAATTGGCGTAAAAGTAACGATGCCCGCGGTGTCAAAGTATGCCAAAAAGCATCAATATTATATTAAAGGTGTGCTTGTTCTGCATCGAATAATTCAGCAAAAATTGAACATGAAATGCAAAGATCGAACCCCCCAGAGAGGATATAAATTATACACAAACAAAAAAAGTAAGAAGCTAACCATTATCTTTGACTACCCTTCTAAGAATTAAAGCCTGTCATTGTGAATATGGATGTCAATAAATAAGTTGTGCAAGATAAATCGATGCAATTTTTTTTTCAGATATGCGTCCAAGGAATATGCGCCTACACGTCATGAAACGGTCAACTATCCAGGCCGATGCCAAAGGCTTCAATGAAAAGCTGGGTTTTTAGTAATATGATTTAAAAAAAGAGAGAACTGCAGTCAATAAAGATGTTGTGACAATTTCTTACAAAACGTGGTTATACTTATCATGCCATGCACCCTTTTTAATGCGATAGAATTCTTTAGCTACGTCATCCGGTGTTTGCGATACGTTCTTTGATCTTGAAAGCGCCGTGCCTATAAGCGGCGCGCGTATGCGCCTCCCATATGCGGAGGCGCCTCGTGGCGGCGCAGCTCCTCCGCATAGGCAGCACATCCGTATTCGCAGGCGCTGCGCGTCGTTCTACAGGTCATCCTCGAGGTCGTCCTCGAGGTCGTCCTTGAGATCGGCCCAGAGGTCATCCTAGAGGTCGTTCCAGACGTCGTATTTGAGATCGCCCGAAAGGTTGTCCTAGAGGTCGTACTAGACGTCGTCCTTGACGTCGTGCTAGACGTCGTCCTGGATGTCGTCCTAGACGGCGTGCTTCAGGTCGTCTTGGAGGTCGCCCTTGAGATCGCCCTAGAGGTTCTCCACGACGCCGTCCTGGATGTCGTTCTACTGGACAACGTCGAGGACGACAAGCATACACGAGGCGGCAGTACGCACAAATTTACATTTTCACCCAAGCTGAGGCAATTATCGGTTTGAGTTGAGCTATAGTTGGTGCATGATCAACGATGGTGGTGAAACAGCTTAAACTAGAGCCACTAAATGAGCTGCGCTTAGAGTATCGGCGTTGCGTTGCCCAACCACTCTACCCCGACATAAATGTTGCCGCCACCATCTGGGTGCTTGTGCAGAGCAGACGCAACTGCCGATTTTCTTGATTGAAAAGTGCGGCTTCCTTAGCATTCGATTCGGTGTTAGGAAGCTTATGTAATATTGCTTTGCTCTGGCACGAGCTGTTGTTGTGTCGGCAACATCTTCATTTTGTATATAGAGCATTCACATGGCGATAAAGATAAGATTTTCGGGTTCGAAGCTCGCGGCGAACGCATCTCTTTTTGTGGTCGCTATGCCGGCGACCAGGGCTGCAACATAATATTGGCGACGAGGAGAGGACCTTAAAAAGCCACCATGAACTTCGGGCTTACGCCGACGCTGCCATTTCTGCGAACGCCCGGCCAGCCTCCGGTTCCATGGCCGCAATGAGAGCAAACGTTCCTCAGGTTTCTTGACTCTTCCGGCGTGGACGAGTTCAAGGAGTCGCGGCGTGCAGCCATCCTGCTGCACTGTCTTGGAGGGGAGGGACAACGGCAATATAACGTCGTGGCCACGTCGACACCACCTGAGCAGCAGCCGACCACAGATTCGGAAGGCCAGTCAGCGACTGCGGGTGCGACCGAAGAAAGCATGCCTGCTAGAGGAGATAACACGGACGAGTTCGCTGAAGCTCGTAAGGAGGATTTTTGCACCCAGAACTAACGTACTCGTTGAGCGACATCGATTCAAGCAGAGATTACAGCAGCCAGCGAGCCGATGGAAGGATATATCACGAGCTTGCCCGAGATAGCCGCCAAATGCGACTACGGTAGCACCACCGACGTGATGATTCGGGACCAGCTCGTTTCAGGCAATTCATCTGGCAGACTTCGGGAACGTCTCCTGTCTGAAGGGGCACTGCTGACACTAGAAAAGGCGTATCAATGGCAACGCATTACGAGGACACCCAGCGCAACCTGAAAGAATCTGCAGCTGAGGGGGCGGTGCATCGCGTTACTGAAAATATTGATAAAAGTGAAGAGGAGGTGACGGAGCGTCGTTGTTACCGTTGTGGGTCGGCAAGTCACGTGGCAAGTTCAGTGAGCTGCAAAGCGCGACGAGCTCTGTGCCGGAAATGCACAAAAACCGGGCACTATTAGAAGGTTTGTAAAAGCTCCACGACGCAGGGCCTGGACGTGAAAGAAATCAGCGAGACTAGGAATTGTGACGTCGTACTTCTTCAGGTGAATACGGACAGCGGACAACGTGGCATCTACGCCGATCTGGAAGTAGAGACAGTGAGTCTGCGCTTTCTGGCAGACACAGACTCTTCAGTGTCAATCATCACAGATGACATTTATCGGCAATGGTTCCGCGAGCGACTGGCTTTGGCACCGCCGTCTGTCAACCTGCTGGACTATTCGGGCTGCAAGATCGAAGTAAAGGGACGATTCTTCGCCAACGTTCGCTACAAAAAGCGTTCGACTTGACTATTTTACGTGGTGTCGAAGGGACAACACTCATCGGACTAGATGCAATCTGCAATTTACAACTTCTGTTTGAAGGAGGAACCTTGTAATGGGGGGGGGGGGGGGGGGGTCTGTACGCGCGAATTGATGCGAACCCGCTACCTGCTGACATTAAGAAACAATTATCACACTTATTCACCGACAAGCTGGGTCTAGTGGAGGGCTTCGCTCAGCAGGTCAAGAGGCGGGAACCAGTTAAGCCCGTGGCGGCAAAGCTGCCGCGGCTGCTTTTAGCTTTGCGGGACGCCGTGTCCATGGAACTGCGCCGATTGGAGCAGGTTGGAAACATTGAACGGGTCGAAGCCTCTGAATGAATATCTCCAATTGTGGTCGTAAAGAAAAAGGACGGCACGATCAGGCTGTGCGTAGATTTGCGCGAGCTAAACGAGGCCATTTTAGTGGATGAATTTCCACTCCCACATACAGAGGAGCCCCTTCCCCAACTTGCAGGTTAGACTCACTTCTCGAAGCTAGATTTGGCCTCGACCTATCACCAAGTTGAACTGTCACCAGACAGCCGGGAGCTGACGACATTCGTCACTCACTACGAACTTTTTCGTTTTCGAAGAGTATGCTTTGGGTTGGCTTCCGCTCCGGCGGCGTTTCAGAGAATGATGACCACGATCCTAGATGGCTGTAAGGGGTGCTATGTTACATTGACGACTTTATCGTATTCGGCAAAGTCCGCAGCAGAGCACAGGGGAATTTCGCAGGAAGTTCTACCTCGCATTTCTACTGCTGAACTTCAGCTTAACCAGAAATGCGAGTTCAACGTGCAAGCGCTCGACTTCCTGGGACACACCGTGAGTGCCCAGAAGGACTAACCCCTCTTCACTCCAAAGTAGAAGCGGTGGCTGAAGCTCCAGTACCAAAAGATGCAGCTGCTTTGTGGTCGTTCTTGGGACTTGTCGGATACTACGCAAGATTTTTGCCGAAATATGCAGAAGTAGTAGAGCCTCTAAGAAAGCTATTGCGTCAAGAAGTCCGATTTATATGTAGCAAAGGAGCAGAACATAATTTCGAGCAAGTCAAAACATCACTCTCTACATGCGGCGCTATTAAGATGTTTGACCCCGTACTACCGGTAGTTGTTACTGACGATGCATCCATGCATGGGCTCGGTGCTGTGCTTCAGCAGGGTGTTGGCAATGACTTGAGAACAGTGGCGTCTGCATCACGAACACTCTCGCCGGCTGAACGGAAGCACCGCGTAGGAGAGAAAGAGCCCCTTGCCTGCGTGCGGGCGTGCCAGCATAGGCACGTGTTTTTCTGGGGACGGCGGTTCAAGCTGCGCACGGATCATCAAGCGCTTGTAACTCTCCTATCCTCTCAAGGGAATGGCCGAAGGCCACTGAGGATCTCAAGGTGGTCATTTTGCCTTTTTTATTACAACTTTGAAGTTGCATATCACTGAGGAAGCGACAACAAAGTAGCAGACGCTCTGTCAAGGTTGCCATTACCTACCGGTAATGAAGAAGAGGAAGAAATTGTATCATTCGTGTCGTTTTGCATCACAAAGCATGAACTACAAGGGGCTGTACAGAAGGATGAGACATTACAACACATCATGAAGTAGATTTCAACCAGGTGGCCAGAAAAGAAAAGCTTGGCTTCCAAGTTGCTTCCATTGTTCCGAGTGAGAGACAAGTTGGTAGTAGTGGACAACGTGTTGCTGCGAGGAGAACGACTGGTCATCCCAGCGTCGCTGATGGCCACCATGATTGAGCTGGCACACGAGACCCATCCTGGCATTGTCAGGACCAAGCAAAGGTTGCGCGAGCGATATTTGTGGCCGGGTCTCGACCAGCAGGTGGAGCAAGTCATCAGGAACTGTTGTGAATGCCAGTCTGCAGACAAGTCTGCCAAACACGTCAGAGTATTACTTCAGCCAATTCCGCTTCCAGAACGGGCCTGGCAGAAGCTGGCTGTGGATATTGTTGGGCCATTCACCAAAACTGGGAGTTGATTCGAGTATGCCATTACCTTGGTAGACTTTTACTCAAAGTGGCCAGAGGTATGCTTCGCATCAGTTGTGGCAACACAGACGGTGATTAAGTTTTTATCTGCTACGTTTAGCAGAGAAGGCTACCCAGATGAAATTCTGACGGAACATGGTTTGCAGTTCAAGTCGGCAGCCTTTGAAGACTTTCTGAAAGAACGGGGAATTTGTCACCGCTGCTCGTCGGTTTATTACCCACAGTGCAACGGGCAGGTGGAGCGGTTTAACAAGGTCTTCAAGGGGTTCGCCCAGGCGGCAGCGCCGGAGTACCGGCCTCTTGAAGTGGCCGTCCTGGAATACCTGGGCGTTTACAGGTGTATACCTCGTGCCACAACGGGGGTACCGCCTGCTCTGCTCCTGCATGGTCGAGTTCCTCGGTCGAGGCTGGACATTGTGGGGTTTCCGTCATCAAAGTTCTTTGTGAAACCCTAGCTCTGAATTAGCTGACCTCAGAGCGCGAGTACAGCAGCGGCAGGCTTACAGCAAGCACAACACGGGCTCCAAGAGGGGAGCAAGGGCGCCAACCTTCAATTTGGGCGATTTCGTCAGGGTCCGCAAGCCAAGCATACCAAAGAAAGGTACATCGCACTATACGCGCCCAATGCTTATCACCGGTACCATGGACCAAGTTCTTACATGCTCAGCGACAACCGGACCTAGAATGCGTCGAAGCTTTCCGGTTGTGGAGGAGCGGGGAAGCGCCTGTTGACAGCATCACAGCAAGCGGCGTCAACGCTGGAGT